CAAGTCAGTTAAGAAGAGGAAGAAAAAAATGTGTTCTCAATTTTTGGGATTTAAGTGTGTAAATGAAATGAGTTATATTGGTGTAAAGATTTCTTTGAGAAGGCTTGCCATTTCAGTTTTTCAAAATATGATGGAGACGTCATCGAAAAAAATGAATATGTGGGGAAACAAATTTATTTCTTTAGCCGACAGATTTATTCTTATCAAAACAGATTTTTTGTCCCTTCCTATCTTTTTGTCTACTCATTTATTAGTTCCTATGGGACTACTGAATGATTTTGATAAAATGTCTGGAAATATGTTTAACTAGGGCAAGAGGGAATTTTCTAAAGTCTGTGTTAGAATAAATCTTGATGCTTAAACGATGCTAGGAGTTTGGATTGAAGGTTCTCTGGGAAAGTTCTTTCAAAATATTGAATATGAGAAGATCTCTTTGTTCTACTTCAATTGTGGAAAAATAGGTCATACACAGCCAAATTGTAAAGGTGGAAGGGAAGGAAAAACAATATCAAATCCTCCAGTTAGCCAGGAATACAAAGAAGGCAAAGTTGATAATTGGACTAGTGCAACAGACCTAGGAAAATAAGCAAATTCTATTTTAGGAGGAGTGGAGAATAATGAAGACACAAACTCTTATAGACCATGGATTCATGTCCATTATAAGAAGAGATTTTTCAAAATAGCAAGGAGGAATGAAAATACATATCAGCAAAGGAAAAGAACTTTTTTAAAAAGTAGTTTTCAAAGAGGTAGAAAATTGAAACGATAATGCGTCAGGTGACAGGGAGATGATTGCAGACACTGAAGAAGTAACTCAAATTATTTCTAAGGTGGGGGAATCAGAAGTGGTAATAGTTAATGAAAAGGCACCTGAAGATGCTGCTATAATGAAAGAAGTGATCCAGATTGAGGAAAACAAAAATGAGAATGGTTCAGAAAAAGAATTAGTTCTGGAGCCGAAACCAGCACAAGGAGAGTCAACATCATATAAGATGAACAATGTAATAGAAGTTTAGGAAGAAGACATAACATCTCATGGAGACAATGGCATAGGAGGTGATAATAAAGGAAAAGATGTGAATGGAATGACTGGAGGAGGTAAGAATACTCCTAAAACATCTAATAGCAAAGTTAAACATACTAAAGAAGTGAAGATGCTTGGGCCAATCAAGGGATCAAAGAACTAGAAAAAGAGAAGGAGGCATTGAAAAGGTTGGGGTATCTTCCCCATATGTACTTTAAATGTCTTCTATAATGTTTTGGAATTGTAGAGGAGCAAAGAAGAAAGAAGCTTCCCACTACTTGAGGAGTTTAATAGTAGAGAATGATGTTTTTTTCATTGGTCTTATGGAAACGAAACTTGAAAAGTTGGATAAGGATGGAGTAAAGAAAATGGTGGGTGATGATTGAGAGTTCTACCATTTTGCTTCTAGTGGAACTTCGAGAGGTATTTTAGCATTATGGAAACATAGAACTTCTTCTTTTACTGTACTAGATTCATCCAATCAATGTATCATTGGGAACATGGCAACACCTAAGGGTCTTTAGTGAAGGTGTCCATTATTTATGGCAAATCAGATTTGTACGAAAGAAGGAAATTATGGTGATTGAAGAAATATGACAAGTACGGAACCATGTATCATAGGGGGCGACTTCAATTGCTTACTGACAAAACATGAGAAGAAGGGAGGAAAAAGATTTTTACTCTCCCAAGGCCCTCAAGAGATGAAGGAGTTCATGACCAATAACGACTTTCATGACATTGGTTCTATTGGACCTAAATTTACGTGCTGCAACAATAAAGATGGACTTGCTCGTATATGGGAGAGACTTGATAGAGTTTGGCTAAACTCCAAATCTATTTCGTACATTCCTTTTACAATCATTAAGCATATCCCTAGAGTGGCATCAGATAATTTCCCTGTACTTCTTCAATTTTCTAGTTCGAAGCTACTTAACCCTAGAGAAATTAGATTTGAGAACTTGTGGTGTTCATATGAGGCTGCAAGGGGGATCTTTACTAATGCTTGGAGGAAGAAAGATCATGGAGAGGCAATAGAGGTCCTTAAAGGAAGATTAATAGACCCCTAAAAAATCTGTACTTTTGGAGCAAAAATAAATTGAGAGAACTCACCATAAAGAAATAAAAGCTACAAAATGATATTTTGCATCTGCAAGAAGAGGAGGCGAAGGAGGATGATTTGAATCCAAAAAATTCGCTTAAACTCAGAATTAAAGTGCATGAACTCAGCATTACTTTGGCTAGAAAGGCAATGTGGTGGAGAAAAAGGTCGAAGATACAATGGATGGAAGAAGGTGAAAAGAATACTCATTTTTTTCACACATATGCAAGGGCTAGAAGAAATAGCAACTCAATCAATCAAATTGTAGGTGCAAATGACTCAGTGGAAACTGATCTGGAAGTTATCCACTCTATATTTGAGAATTGCTTCTCAAAAAAATGAAGTAAACGCAAATGTGTAATGTTTGATTGGCCTTCTCTTAGCATTGAAGATTGTCTAAATGAGTAGATGAAAGAAGTTCTTACTTTAGATTTCACAAAAGAAGATCTATACACTACCGTTATGAAAATGAGTAACAACAAGTTGCCTGGCATAACGGGGCAAATGCTTGCTTTTTTAAATCATATTGGAGCATTGTGAAGGAAGATGCTTGGAATACAATAAAGGAGTACTTCATTTGGGGAGAAATGCCAAATTATTTGAAAGATACGTTGGCGATACTCATTCCTAAAGTCCCTAATGCTTTTGAATGTTCTAAATTTAGACTAATATGTTTATGCCAAACCATTTATAAAATGGCAGCATGTATGATTCTAAGCAAATTAAAGATGTGTCTCCCCAATGTTATTTCTGTATATCAAGGTGCATTTGTATCGTGAAGAAGTATATCTGATAACTGTCTACTTGCCCAAGAGATTGTGAACAAGATGAGATTTTCTGTAGCCAAACTAGGATATATGCTCTTAAAACTTGACGTGGAATAAGCATACGATAGCATGTGCTAGGAAATATTAAATCAAATTATGAGGATTTTGGGATTTCTAGAGAGGATAATATATCTGGCTTTAAGGAGAATGAAAGCTAACGATTTCAACTATATTATAGAGAATGCAATGGAAATATTGAATTCTTGGGGAGCTCGTTTGATTTCTATGGTAGGAAGAATGTTGTTAATAAAAACAACATTTTCTTCCATCCTCTCATACCTATTGGTACACTCTCTAATACCAAAAAGCATTTTGATGACAATTGACAGAATATGCAGAAGCTTTTTGTGGCACAAGGAGAACGAGAAATAGGGACTGCATTATATAACATGGCCTACATTGTGCTTGTTTACTAATTCAGGTAGGTTTAGCATTCAAGGACCAGCGAAACGATAAGGTCCGCTGAGAGCTAGACTAGCATGGAACTTCCTACAAAATCAGAATTCACTCTTAAACAGAGTATTGAAATTGAAGTATGTCGATGGCATTTGGGAAGAAGGGATAAAAAGAAATTCATCTCCTTCTTGGCGAATAATTAAGGAACGAGAAACCTATTTAAAACCTATAACAATATGGAAAATTGCAGTCAAGAAATAAGATCGACATCTTAAAAGATGTATGGATACCTGACAGAAGACTGCATAGATGGCTGACTACATGTAATGCAAATGAACTTCATGGTAAAAAAGTTTCTTTCCTAATAAATGAAGATGGAACTTGGGACAAGGAGATATTGAAAGTATATATCTCTGAAGAATTGGGAGATTTGATTCTACAAATAACTATTGGAACTGAAACTACGAAAGATAAGTTTGAATTAATCAACACAGATACATGTAGATCAATCACTTATTTGTCTAATGAAACCAATTGTCAAGAACAAGGAGGAAATATGAGAGATATGAAATGGTTGAAAAAACTTCAAGTCACTCAAAGGGAGTTCTTGTTTTGGTGGAGATTGTTGAATGATCCATTATCGACTAATATGTGGTTAATCCATTGGAAATTACATTGCATAAGTGATTGTCCTAGAGGTTGCCAAGTTCTTGAAGAAACAGAGCATATTGCAACAGGTTTTTCTAAATTACTAGAAGTATTACAGATATTAAGACAATGGGGAATTAATATTCTGATATTCCAAAATATGACACATTGTGTAGAGGAATTAAAGAAAACAAGAAGAATGAAATGTGGTCTTGCTAAAATATATGTTGCGGCTGTTTATCATAATTGGAAATTTTGCAATTTGGCAAAGCACGACAAACCTGTTCCATCTTCAACATACATAGAGGCAGAAATTTTATCTAATTCTTGTTGTTTACATTCAGTTCCAATCGAGAAGAACTGGGACACCAATCAACAATCTATGCTGTCTAAAGCTTAGTGTCCCCCACCTGTGGGTTGGATTAAATTGAATGTAGATGCGGTGGTCTTACAATCTAATGCGGCAGGAATTGCAGGAGTTCTAAGGGATCATAAAGGAAGAATGATGTGTGTTTACGGCAAAAAACTTAGTCACTGGGATGTTGCTTTTATGGAGCTAAAGGAGATAGTTAATTTTGGAATTTTTTTTTCAACAGTGGATGATTGCAAATAAAGGAATAATTATAGGAGACAATATAATTATCATGAATAAGCTTCAAAACAAGATAAGGATGAACACATAGAAGAACAATAAAGCTCAAAGGGTGGACCTCTAATTTCTTGAAGTTTTTAACAACATTTTTTTTTTAATTTTGTTCCTAGAGATTGTAATAAGGTGGCAGATTATTGCTCTCATCTTGCATTGTTAGGCGATTTTTATTGGGACACTTTTTTAGACACGGAACTTCCATCAAACTTTGTTGACATGATTGAAAGGACTGTGATAGATTTATCTTTCTTTAGTAGCTTGTAATTATTTCTTTTTTGTTAGTATTAATGCAATATGCATCTTTTATTAAAAAAAAATAATAATAGAATTTTAAGTGCGGCAGTTTACAAAATACAGAAGCATTTGCTTTGCGGCCATTCTCTTATGTCATCGCTCCCAGCTATATACCCATCACTAGTTGAGCTCTCTGCGTGACCTTGTACCTGCGATTGGAATTCTGCTTTGCTATTTTTTCGGGTATTGCATTTTCTGTAGATTGCTTATCTTATTCAATTCAAGATATAACTGCAGCACGGGCTCGCTTCAATTGAGCAGGTGAGTGGCGCCCTTGGGAGTTCTTTTCCTATGGTTTGAATTGAATGAATCTAAACGTAGGGATAGAGGAGATATCTTGTTTAATCTATTATTGCGTAGTTTGATCGTTTGTGTTTGACGGATCTTGATCTGCTTCAGGCTGAGTGTCTTGGTTTCTCTCGCCCTAAATGCCAATTCTGTGGACGGAGGCTTTGAAGAAATCATGATTTGGGAAGAAAGGGTGAGAGATAATAGAGAACAAAACGGTGGTCCTCCCTGTGGCCAGGTCCGTGTTCTTGTCGCCGGTGATTCAGGTACTTCTAATACTTCACTCCTATGGCTCCCTGTTTATCTATTTTGGCCGTGATTGTCTTCTTTTCTCATGAATGCATTTTCAGGCCGCACATAAATTAAGCAATATTACCTAAACCAAGCGCACTATTGATGATAAGCTCTTTTATTATTTTCTTTAATTGCATAGTTATTTCGTGACGGAATGATTTCAAAGAGGATTAGTCTTTGGCCTTTTTGGATATTTTTTCATTGTATTTGTGAATAATTATTAAGATAGGAGTCAATGTAAAAGGCTTAGGGTCGGTAGACGTTGCAGCGCTCGAAGATTAGATTGCGAAGCTCAATTAGATTTATTTATGAAATGGTGCTGGAAATTGGCAGAAGCCCTGAAGATACAAACTTCTTGACATTTTTTTTATGTAGCAGTTACCAGAATTAAGGGCATCTCCAACCGAAAATCTCATTTTTCACTCCAAAATGCCATGAAACTAAAAAAAATGCCGTGATTCATCTCCAATGGAACGTCATTTTACCCCGTAACAGTCGTTTGCGCGTTTCTTCGGCAAGTTCGGTAGAAACCAAAAAATGGCGGAGATGAACAGTGCAATGCCAATATTGGCGTCGCACTGTTTATCCGCGATGAAATGACGTCAGAATTGCCGCTTGGTTGGAGCGACGAAAGAACGACAAACAGTTGTTTGCCGTTCCATTGGAGATGCTCTAAATAAGTTACTGATCATGGATTTTACAAATGATTTTAAATCTTTTGTTTGGTTGACTTATGATATGGTGATCATTTCAATTAATGTTAGAATGTGTTAGTTAAGCAAGAATATGTGGAAGTTAGAGTCATTGGAAGCCTAACATTAGATTGCTTGGAGTAGATCAGGGTAAGCTGCCGATGAATTCTTTGGTGGGTGAGGAGGTGATGAAGTTTTTCCTGGATGTGGAGCTCGACGCATTATGAACATTATGGCATAAAATAGAAGAATTTATGTATCTTACGGAGACATAAGAGAACCAAATCGAGAGAGGATTGATTGGTTTTCACCAAAATGATAGAATTAATTGAGCATGAGAAAGGACCAGCCAATATGATGATATATGGCATATGAACTCAATTTTCATTATTCTAGTCTATTAATTTTAGTTGATCTCGTGATGAAATGTCATTATAAACGTACTAGCTTGAACAAGGTAACAAAATAGTCCTAATTACAAATGGCATTAACAAATTTGGTTGTATAACAATCATAGGTATGGGACGAGAATATCCAAGCAATGAGGATCCTTTCATTATAATAATGTTTTGTTGTAAAATGAAACATATTAAGAATTTTATGTGTAACTTTATGTGTAACGAATATGATATACTTGGGAAGCCTAAAGCGCTATGTCTTGTATATACCAATTTCCGGATTGGGGCATCAATGTAATTGGGCTATCCGGCCCATTATGTAAATGAATTGGGCGAGCTTGTACCTGTTCATAATGAATATTATGATAACATAAAGCTGAGTGGGTTCGACATGAATGCCTTATATTGGTCAATCTACAATACAATTAACATGTAGCTAGGTTTTAATCTGGAATGTAGTTGTTCCTAGCTTTAGTGCTGTATGCAATGTAAATTTCTTCCTGATAGCATATGCCCATGATTTTGTTAACCACTGTGAACCTAAATTGATTCCTTGATCATAACAACTTTAATCAATTGTTCGAAGGTGTTGGGAAAACATCATTGGTCCATCTAATTGTAAAAGGTTGTGCAACTTCTCGTCCTTCTCAAACTGTTGGGTGTACAGTTGAGGTCAGGGTAAGGTTTCTTGACTTTATTTTGATACAAACACTACTTATATTTCCTTTGATGCACCGTATGTATTTCCAATTGGTTTTCCAGCATATTACTCATGGAAGTAGTGGAAGCTCTTCTAGTATCATAAAAGGTGATGCAGAAAGGGACTTCTTTGTTGAGCTATGGGATATCTCAGGACATGACAGGTACAAGGATTGCCGCTCCCTTTTCTATAAGCAGATCAATGGTAAGTAAGGATTTCACTTCTCTTGATATTTCTGTCTGATATTTAATCAGTGTTTGTAGGTATATGCATCGATGCTGTCTCAGCATTATGTGGTTGTCATATCGTCATTGCTGTCATTTCAGTTATAATTTATGGCTGTACTTGCCTAGCTATTATCATCTGCGTTGCTATTCTTATACTTATCATTTTAAGTTACTTTGTATCCTTCTTGCTATCTGTTCGTTTAAATGCAGAATATTTTGTTTTTTATTATACTCTTAGCTTGCCATAGAGATATTAACCTATATTTGGTTCTTAAGAAATTGATTACTTAAAATAAAGAAGCCAAGGGAGGGAATATCCTGCAGCATAAAAAGCTTTTCTAAGAACTGTCATGTATGTTCACGTACACCAATTTAATGCCTATCTATCTATATATATTTCATAATATATAGCAATTTAGTGGAGAGACACACACTGCTTTCCATATCTATTCATACACTTATTTCCTCTTCTTTTTGGATAGATTCTAATTCTTCTATTTAACATTGCACGAAGGTGTTATATTTGTCCATGATCTCTCTCAAAGGAGGACAAAATCAAGTTTGCACAAGTGGGCTGCGGAAATTGCAGCAACTGGGACATTTTCAGCTCCACTAGGATCTGGTGGGCCTGGAGGTCTTCCTGTTCCTTACCTTGTTATTGGGAACAAAACTGACCTTGCTGCTAATGATGGGGGAAGAGTAAGCAGTGGCAATCTTGTTGATGTTGCTCGCCAATGGGTTGAGAAGCAGGGCCTGCTTCCTTCCAGTGATGAGCTTCCTTTGACAGAGAGTTTCCCAGGAAGTTCAGGGTTTCGATCGGTAACAAAATGATCTTCCATTTTAAGACCTAATCCATCACAGACACATTCTTTAAGCTTATGTTAATTATTACATAATATGACACTAGTTTTACTATGCCTTTTCCTGTAATTAATGCATTGAGCTTAGAATGTTTTATTTCAGAAGTAGATAACACTTTTCCACTTCAGGGTTTTTTTTTTCCATCTATTTTATTTCTTCCATTCTTCACTTATTGCCACCATCCCTACGTAAAGAAATTCAATGCAATGGTAGAAAACAACTGGGTTTTATTGAATGAGTGAAGCTTTATCAGTGGCTTTAATAAATTTAGTGGCTTTTTGATGGACATTTAGAGGTTGAACATCGCGGGAACTATTAGGAGGAAGTAATTCCTGTTGATGCAAGGTATGGTTGATTATGGAGTTTGAAAAGAAAAACATGGTTTCAAGAGAGTTGCCAAACTTCACTTTCGGATCAGTTAAACTATTATGAAAAGTGAAAATCAAGTGCTTGAGAAAAAAAATCTGATGTGTTAGAAGGATTTTGAACCATATTCACTATTATGGAAACTTGGAGAATCTCAGACATGTAAGAGAAATCTGGTAGTAGCATTCAATCATATTTCTCATCCGTATGAATTTTCAATTTTGTATCTTACACTACATGATGATAGATCTCTCTTCTATTATTCGTATTTGTATTTAGAGAAAATGCTTAATTTTTTGCATCCTTGCGGGAAAAAAAAAGATTTTGCTGCAGTCAAACCAAATATATGGAGCAAAATATTATATAAACACAATATGTTAGTTTCATTGTGTATGCAAACTTAACTGGCGTTTTCTAAACATAAGTTTTTTGACATTCATAGACATAGCCGCTTGGTTGAGTAGCCATGATGCTTTTGGTTAGTCTATATATGTCAGTCACTAATGGAAAATCACTCATTTCCAGCAGAATTTTTTGCTGTAAATCAATGTATTCATGATGAAAATTCTATTTTCCGGTGGATTTCCAACAACAACAGCCACATCAACAACATGGGGTTAGCTACATGAATGTTTTTTCCGGCGAATTTTCAACGGAAAATAACTCGTCAGTAAAATAGTGTATAGGAAAAGAAAATTTGAGGTTTTTTCTGTCGGTAAAATTTCCAACAGATATCGGTTCGCAAAAAGGTGTCAACAAAAGTGACGGAAAGGATCAAATCGCCGTCGAAAATTTCTTGCAGAATTTCCGGTGAAACATCCGTTGGAAATTACTAGTAGAAATTCCACTGGAATTTTCGTCCCGCCTCTTTGATTGTTCTATTCGTCGATGCTGTATCGAGAGTTTCTGGTGGAAATTCCGGTGGAAATTTGTTGGAAAACTATAGCATACTAATAAAAAATTGCAGCCTTTCATTGTTTCATTATAACAATTTACGCAATTTAGGCTACAACAGTTTATATATATATTACAAGAAATGTTTAACTATGATACGACAATGCTAATAATAACATAATCCAAACCGTTCAAAACATAAATCTGACAAACTGTAAAATGTAATCGTTGTAAATAAAAGCTCTTCAATTCAACAACATAAATCTCACAATAATGTCATCCTTACACACATTTAGAATAAGTTTTCGAAACATCATTAACAACGTAAACGAAAGCTAATAACATTTTTTGATACTTGTAAAAATCTGTTCTAATCATCTTTAGTCTCTTTGGTCTCTTTACTCAGGCTTAGGCTGCTCATCCGTCTTATTTCAATTTAGGCTTAGGTATGATCACAACTTTGCCTGCATTTCGACTGAGTACCTATTTCTGTAAGAGAACATAGTTAAAACAATAAACATATATATGAAATAATAGGAACCATTTATCAGTCGTCGTCTATGCTCAGGATGAGACACTGTATCACAAGTGTGGAGAGAGCTAAATCCCCACAATGGGATGCTCTATTTTGTTTGTTATGCTTTCTCTTCTTAGTGAACTTAGGGGTGGCCCAAGCTCTAGTTAGATCACCCTATACGCCCTCTTCAAGCCATAATGGTGAAAGTCCGATTTGTGGTTGTTTGACCACTAGAACTACAAAAGTACACCAAGAGGGCGGGGGGGAGTGTGAATTGGTGTTTTACAAATTTTATTTTCAAAATTCATTTTTTAAAAACTTAATAGCAAATTCAAAACTTAAGTTTAAAAATAGAGATTGTAATGCGGAAGTTACTGAAATGAAAAATCAAATGCTATTTTTTTGTTTTGATTTTATAAAAAATAAAAAAGAATTTTTTTTTCTTTTTAGTTTTCAGATTTTTATTTTCCTTTTCTAACAAAAATTAAATCCAAACGGTTCTCAACATTCTCAACTTAGATTTGTACAAAAGTAAAATTTTAAGAAAGTAAAATTGCAAAAATTTAAGTGCAGTAAAAATAAGAACGAACACACCGGAAATTTATAGTGGTTCAATCAATATTGACCTACGCTGACAACCCGGGCTTTTCTTCGGGTATTGCACTAAATCTTTTGTGTCCCTCCTTTTGCTCTTATAGCAAGGTGGAGAAGCCCTTACAAAATCTTTTCCACCAACCCGGTGTAGTGGAGTAGCCGAATCATTTTCACCAATGGTGCAACGGAGTAGCCAAATCCCTTTCATTAACTCGGTGCAGCGGAGTAGTCGAATTCCTTCTATCAACCCGATGCGGCGGAGTAGTCGAACCTTTTGACCCCTCTTCCAAAAGCTTCCGTCAAGACGACCCTTTACACAAGGAGGAACTTAGTTGCAAGTTTGCCAAAGCAACTGTGTGAAACTCCCTCTCACACTCTCTTAAACCCATAAGGATCTTCTCCCTCTCTTAAAAATTTCATCATTTTTCTCACAAGCTCAAGGCTCTCTCTTCAACGCTTTCTCAGAGAAGGCACAACCCAATAACTGCTAAAAGACTCTTCAAAATGAAATAAGAGATCTTTAAATTCCAGACTCCAAGAAAAAATCATAATTTTCAATTTAGTTATCTCTGTTCATATAATACGATCTGAAAATCGTACAATATGATTAGTTCACTTCTCCCTTTAGTGCTGTACGAGCTTGTCGCACTATCCACTTCCTCTAATTAGGTTTCCACGATAGGCAACAAATCATCCGGAATATCAATTGTAGGACCCCTAAGATCGAAATTTTTATTGGGTCAGGTTACCTGACGCTGTTCTACGTTCGGTATAGCCTAATCAAGCGCCACGTAGCAGCCTCATTTCCGCGGACCCAACCCGGCGAATATTGGATTTATGGCATGTGCGATTTTTGAATTTGACGGCCCGACCAGCGGACCCGAAATTTATGTATATTTTTCAAATAAAGAACAACGTCTTTCACTTCAGTCATCATTTGCTTGCATATAAGAAGCTTTGTTTCCGGCAACTGTTCATCTTCTTCCAAGTTCCAAGCTCCCCGCATTTGCGTTTCATAAACTTCAGAGAAACAATGCCTCAGGTTAGTTCCTTTTTTGATAAAACAAATAAATTTTCTCTTTTTAAATGTTTAGGGTTAGGGTTTATGGATAAAGTCCTTCTATAGCTGCTGAAATTTTAAGCTTTCGTGAAAAAACAATCTTAGATTCGAGGTCGGTATTACTCGGTACAGATTACTATTGCTCGGTACCAAGTGATTTTGGTAGTTATAAACACTCGGTACTGCTCCGTATTTGCGATTAATGGTCAGTATAAGCTTAGATAAAAACATAAAAATATTTTTGTTGGTTATAAAATATATTATTGATTCAGTACCGAGTGAAAGCATTTCAAACACTCGGTACTACTCGGTATCGAGCGATTTTGGTAGTTATAAATACTCGGTATTGCTCGATATTGGTGATTAATGGTCGGTATTAGCTCAGTTATATTGCTAGGAACTGTTCGGTATTTATAACCATTAGTTCGTATAAGCTTAGGTATGTTGATCGGTACAGCTCGGTACTGCTCGGTACTCCTCGGTATTATGAATAATAACTAGGTATAAGCTTGCTTTAATAGTCCAAATCATGTTATATACTCGGTACTCCTCGGTATTACCTCTTTTATGATTGGTACCGATTGTCTTTTGTATGTATTATTTAATACTCTGAACCGATTGTCTTTAATACTTGATATCCGTTATGCAGGGATATACTCCAAAGATTCATTTCAGATGTCAAACTTCGACTTTTAGAGAAGTTTGTAATCAACTTGTTCGGAGATTTGGAGATCCTTTTGTTGAAAGACTGCGAAAGATGCAAATTAGTCAGTTCCTGATGGTTCCTCTTATGCCCCAAAATGTTCCACTTATGTATATGCTGTTATCGAAGTGGGATTTAAAGACTGAAAGTTTTATTATTATTGGACATAGGCTAGATTTCACATCTGATGAGGTTGCCTTAGTCATAGGCATGCCGAATAGAGGTATTATATTTGACGTTGACAGTACTAGATCCAGTGGCAAAACATCTAATGATATTCGCTATTACATTGAGAGGATGGATAATTCAACTCCAATGGATGATCTAGTGAAAGAATTCGTCATTTATCTATTATCCAACATTTTTTATCTAATGGCGAACTTCCGTATACCATCATCTATCCTGGAAGTTGTAAAAAATGTTGATAGGTTCAATACATACAACTGGCCAGAATCAATTAGGGGTTTCCTGGTTAATGAATTAAACCTTGTTTTTTTTTTTTGAGGATCATGAGGTAGCATCACTACGTGTTTTCATTTAAATGTCTGATTAAATTATATGTTTAAATGTTTAAATTAGATGAAATATTTTATTTTATACAGATTCTCAGTCATTTTCGAGGAATAACAGATGATGAGAAGGCTTTATTTCACAGTCCTTCAAAGATTTTATCTAAGTTGCCCAGTCTATCTCCACCTACTCCAGCCAGTCCAATACGGGTGGCAAGGCCAATTAGGGTGCCAAGCCCAACTGGACATCATTCATTTCCACCGACTCTAGCTAGTCCAATAAGGGTGCCAAGTCCATTCAGGATGGCAAGCCCA